GGAGCTTTCGCTGACGGGAATAGCGGGGGGCGGTCGCTGAGCAAGAGGTGGCTGACAGGGAGTCGCTGACAGGAATGGCGGGAGGGGTTCGCTGGCGGGGGGGCCGCTGACAGGAATGGCGGGGGCCCAGGGCTCCTCCAGCGGGTGGGTCTGTCCCCGCCTGCCCGGGGCAGAGCCCTCGCTGAGGCGGTGTCGGTATCAGGCAGCGAGGCAGATGAAGTATATCCTGGTCACCGGCGGGGGGATCTCGGGCATTGGCAAGGGGATCATTGCCAGCAGCATCGGCACCATCCTCAAGTCCTGCGGGCTGCATGTCACCTCCATCAAGATCGACCCCTACATCAATATCGACGCTGGCACCTTCTCCCCCTACGAGCACGGTGAGTGGCCCTGTGGGGCTGAGCTGTCGGCGGGGGGCTGGCCCTGGCCTCGGCACTGGAGGCTTCCAAGTGGGTCCCAGGGCTGGCCTTGTCTGGGAGGAACCATCTGCTCTGCATGGTGGAAGAGTTTGAGTCTGGTCCTGTGTGTGGGACCTGCAGGCTAAGCCTGTTGGTGGCTCTGGGGCTGATCATGCCACCAGCAAATAGCAGAGATGTGCTCTCTGGGCTGTTATCATTGCTGCCCGGTTGAGGGATTCAGTCCTTAATGTAGAAGTCCTTTTTGTTGTATGAGGCTTTTTGTTTTATTAGACACAGCTAAACTTGCTGTAGCAATCAAAGAAGGTATTTCCTTACTTTGAATTTCTAGCTGTCACAAGCAAAACCAACAAATTGCTGATGCATACTGTTTCCCCTTGACGTGTGTGCTTGTGCCTTTTCCTGTGTGCTGCAGGGGAGGTGTTTGTGCTGGATGATGGAGGGGAGGTGGACCTGGACCTTGGTAACTATGAGCGCTTCCTTGATATCCGACTCACCAAAGATAACAACCTGACAACTGGGAAGATCTACCAGTATGTCATCAACAAGGAGAGGAAGGGAGACTATCTTGGCAAAACTGTCCAAGGTAACGTGAAGCTTAATTCCTGATGCTTAGAGATATATTTTGTTTTTCTGTCCTGGCTGGATGCTTTTGCATTGCATCTTAACTTGAGGTTTTGTTATACATTTTGGGATGTTTTGTGTTTATTTTTTTAAAAGGGTAAGTAGGAGATGCACCAGCGCAGGTGTGTTGGTGCATGTCATACTGAGCGAGGTCACCTGTAAGCCCCCCAAGGCTTTCCAGTACTCTGCAATATACTGCCTGTTGTTTGGACTATTACCGGACTTGGGTCCAACTGTCTAATGTTGCCAGTACTAGGTGTGAACAGACTTCAGACTAGTACCCTGTGGACTATTTGTTAGCTGATTAAAATGGTTATTGCTTTTGGTAACTGTCATGTCAGTAGAAAACCCAAAGGATCTTTGAGGATCAGATCAGTCTGATCCCTTCTTTTTAAGCATTTTCCACAGCTGGTTTGGATAAGGACTTTTACAGACAGTTTAAAACAGAGCCAGTCTCTCTGCTTAGGGCAAAGAACTGTTTGTACTTGAATCTTCCAGCTTAACGGAAATGTTGCTTACATGTGTTTAAATTGAGGCAGGATTACATTTCCTGCCAAGGCACTTCTCTTGAAAATCACAGCCAAGAATGATCACTTCATAAATGCACACTTCTTTAAAGACACAAATCAGTGCTCAAGTCATATGGGAAACTCTGGCTAGTTATTTTCAATAATTTTCTCTGTAATGAGTTAGAGGTAGAACTGTGCGTGGGTTGTTGCTTTAACCCATGCCTGATTTTCTTTTTCAGTTGTTCCCCACATCACGGACGCTATACAAGAATGGGTGATGAGGCAGGCCCGAATTCCTGTAGATGAAGATGGCATTGAACCCCAAGTTTGTGTGATTGAGGTTTGTACCTCCTAAAAAGTGAAAGTAAAAAAATATGGTTTTGCTTCTTGTATGGAGTAAACTGAACTATATGCATATTTTCGACTGTAAAATTTTCTTACAGTAACATTCAACTTTGTACATTGTTGGGTTAGTTAAAAATCCCCCTAGCTAGCCTTGCTTATTCAGTTTAATCTTTTGAATGCCCTGTGAATCCACACGTGGAAAGACTTAGGTTTTAGAAAGTTATATTTTTGAGATGCTTTGCTCTCTAGTGTAATGTGAATTGGTCTACAAAATGAATTTTCACTTGTAACTTTATATGCCAAAGTCTGAGTGCCCGTGCTGTGCCCTCTTCTTCCTCGGGTAGAACACCCTCTGGAAGCAGTTGTCTTTCCTCCTTAGCAGTAACGGGAGTGTTGGAGTGACGAGTTCAAGCACAGGCCTAGAAAAGCGAGTGGCACGAGTTAGTGGTGACAGCCCGTGTTGGTTTCCTGTGCCTTGTGTGGGGTGACCTGGTGCCAGAGGAGACGGCGCAGAGCAAAGGCTCTGCCGGTGCTGCTGAGCTGGCTGGCGGGCTGTGCTAATGCAGGAGAGAGGGAGCTTGTCATAGTGCCCGGGTCACGGTGACTTAGGACTCTCCCTGCAGCTCGAGTGCCAATTCCTGTTCCAGGATTTACAAGCCTGGATCCCAGGTGCCTCAGAGGCACTCTCTGCAGCGCGTGGGAGTCTGTCACTGCTCCAAGGAGTGCTTAGTGTCTCTCTTCCTGCATGTCTCCAGAACCACCCTATATAGTTACTAAAACTTAACAGAAATTTTGCTTCTCTGTTCCTGCATGTGTCCAAAACCACTCTATATAAACAGAAATTTTGCTTCTCAGTGCCCCCTAATATTTGTAAATGATAATTTTAACATCTGAATCTTTTCCCAGAAGAGGGAATAGAGACAAAGCTAATGTCCCTGGAGAGGCGATGGCCATATGAGAAGCTGTTTTTCTTGTGGCTTCTTTATTTTTGGGGAAGTTACAGAGGTAAAATAGTAGTTGGGGTACATTGGAGGCTGTGGAAGTAGTACAAGCAGGTAAATCCTGCTTTTCATCTTGGTGTTGATGATTACTTAGGGAATCTGAGGAAGGTGCTGAGGAGGTGTTTTAGTGTCCTTTTATGTATGCTTTAGTACACTTTAGCATACAAATTCAGTAGGTGATGTTCTGGTACTAACTTTAATTCTAAATGTCTGTCTTTTTTAGCTTGGTGGGACTGTAGGCGATATCGAAAGCATGCCTTTCATCGAAGCTTTCCGCCAGTTCCAGTTCAAAGCCAAAAGAGAGAATTTTTGTAACATTCATGTCAGTCTAGTTCCCCAGGTAAGGACCTAAAATGTTGTGGTGGTCAGAGACTTCCCCAACCCAAAACTTGCTTTCTAAATAGGTATTTCTGAAATGCTATATCTATATGGACCACTAGATTTGTATTTCTATATATAGAAACTTGTGGAAGAAATGCAGAGAATATATGGTTATGTATTCAAAAAGGTTTGCAAGAAGTGAGCGGAAACTTTTCAAAGTGTATAAATGTGTAATAAATAGTTGGGAGTTGCAGCAAATGCAGTTTTGTATCTTTAACTGCTGTTTTTCTTTATGCAATCATCTCCTAGCTTTTGCAGGTAAACTTGCTTTCTAGGGCTGAAACCTTTCGATTTCCCTTCGTTTGCATAGCCTTTCATTTCTGCAAAGGTAATATAACCTTCAGTGATTCAGGCAGCCTTCACAGCCATTTGGACTTACTTATAAGATCATATTTCAAGGTCTTCGTGGAGTTCTTTAATATTTCTGTTGCTGTGTGCCCTTTCCCTCCAGGCTTACAATAGCTGTAGTTCATGAAATAGGTTGGGTTACTTTTTTAATTTCAAAACATAATATTGTGTTTTGAAACAATCTGGTTTTTTTTTTCCCCTTAGACAATATTTTTAATGTGTGTTCTGATCTTTAACAATAGTTTAATAGACTCTCACATCTGATTGCTATGTAAGCCATAGCAATCTGAGTGGCAGTTGCCCTTTCATTCAGAGATTCAACTAAGAAAAGGTATTATGAAGCAGTGCTATGATAAGAATCAGTTAATTAAGAAACACTGAGAAAACCAATATATTGTTATTGCTAAGTGGATGAGGTAAACTCCAGTTAACACCAAAAGTATATGAAGGCATTTTATGCCATATAATGCCTGATATCACCTCATCTGTATTATCTGCCCTGGTTTTGAAGGCAGTTTACAGTCTTCGCCAAACAAAAACCTCTACTGCAGCAGTCACTGCTGAAGAAAATACTTCCATGGTTGTGTTAACAATATGAGAGAGCATGAGTATTCCTTGTCTTGGAAATGGGTTTGACAGAGCAACTTGATGGAATTACTGAGTGCAGATCAATATTTGTTCTCTTGTCTTTCTCTCTCTCTCTTTCTCTCTCTCTCTCTTTCCTTTTCTGTCCAGGCCAGGAGAAAAAAATTAGAAATACAAAATATTAGGTATTTCCAGGGAGCAGTGGATAAAAACCTTAGGATCTCTGTTCTCTCCCTCATTATTATGCACACTTAGTGTTCAGACTTGAACTCTGGTTTCTGCTGATTGCTTTCAATCCTTGAAATTGAATTGGTAGCGTACAGGGCTATTTAGAGTTCTTGTTAAATGTCTGAGAACTGGGTCAAAGTTTTTACAAGATGAATAGGGTGGAGAGTCCCGATTAGCCTTATGAATCATTGCTACATATCATCATGATTTGATATACCAGCGTTTGCTTTTCTCTGCCCAGCCAAGCTCTACAGGAGAGCAGAAGACTAAACCCACCCAAAACAGTGTTCGTGAACTCAGAGGTCTTGGTCTCTCCCCTGATCTGGTAAGGTTTGAATCATGGCTTTGAATTTTAAAATGCAGTACTGGCATGTTGCAACAACATTCTAATCTAAATAATGCTTAAGTTGAGAGCTCCTATATATTGGTAATAAACAAGTAGAAGTAACAGAGTTAGGTTTTTCCCCCAAGTGACAGGGACTGTGGAAAACGAGCTTTTTTTATAGGTTTGTTATATGAATGTCTGAGTACTTCTGTTTTGCTTCCCAGCCTTGATGTTGCTGTTCTGTTAGATTGTTTGCAGGTGCTCCACTCCATTGGATACCTCAGTAAAAGAAAAGATTTCCATGTTCTGTCATGTTGAACCAGAACAGGTAAAGATTGCTGTCTGTACTTCCTTGCAATAAATATTCTAGCTGTTTGTCAAATGCTGAGTGGAGTTTTATCCGAGCGTAGCGTTTTTGTGTTCTAGCCTTGTCTTTTGTTAGCTGCATAATTCATTTGCTGCTTACCTACAGTGTCTTACCTACATTCCTTACACATGTAACCATTACAAAAATAGTCCTTTTTATACCAGCAGCCAGGTTTTCTTATGAGGTAGTTAGCACAGGCTTAGACAATTCTGTGGAATCCAAGGTATCTTCTGAATAGTTGGTTTTTGGCCTTAGTTCTCCTTCCGCATTGCTTCTGTGCATACAGAAGAATTAAATTTTTCAGTATTTACAGGCCAAAAAGTAGTTGCCCAAAATCAGGTTTAAAGGATACATGAATGTATTTCACACACTGCTCTTCTAATGATACTATTCTTCTGCCCAAGATTGCATGAGAAGAGATTGCAGAGAAAAGTTGAAATGGTATTTGAGAGAAGCATTGCTTCACTTGAATGTTATGTGACATGCGAAATTTCTGTGTTAGCATGATTCTTTTTATACTGAGACTACTCTGCATAGCATAGGCTGAGTTAGACCTTGGAAAAGAATCAAACTGTAGACTAAACACTAGCACTTGCCAATCCAGCTGGAGCTTGAAAAGTGTTGCCTTTGTGAGAAAGACCAAGTGTACTTCACAATTTCAGGCTCTGTCAAGTCATTTTTGTTAGTTTCCTACACAGCGAGATCAAATTGAGTCTTGAGGTTTCAAGTATTACATTCAGAATTAGCTGGCACCAGTATTGATGTGTCAGCAGTACGGTATCTACCTCTTGTTGGCCAGGAATTGAAAGTAAGTTGTCACTTTCCAGGAAGTTTAAAGCAATTTTACGTAGTTGTGTCTCTGACTGCCGTTGCACTTGAATTGAGAAGTAAATGTTGTTGACTACAAAGGAGGAAAATTTGCAGCCCAGGGGGTTTTACTGGTGCAGAGTTAACTCTGATTCCATTTGAGTAAGGAGAAATGAGGATTTAAAAATAGTTGTGCCAGTATATCTTTGATCCTTACAGTACAGTCTCATTCTTGACAGACAGGTGACAGTTGTCCAGAGCCGTCTTTCCTTTCCTGCAGAAGCCTATTTTAGTGAACTGGAAACATTGACATGGATATTCCTCATTGACCTAATAATTCTTTGCTCATAATTGTTTAATCCTAAATTTGATGAAGGACACCCCGTAAAATTTATCACTGTATTGAGAACACAGATTGCCCTGGGCTTTAATCAAACTGCGATCCCTGGTTAAGAATGACAGCGGTGGGGAGTGGGGAAGCTGGGCTGTGGGCAGTTGAGCTGTAGTTTCACCTGGGGTTACCAGCAGGGCTGGATCACAGAAGTCTCACACTTCAAGCGTTCTTTGAACTTTGCTGTGTGCTCACATACCTTGCACAGCAGCTGCCTTTCTCACCACTCCTTCAGCGTGTTGTAGCCATTCCCAAGGAGCTCCGATGAGCAGTAATACCTGGGAAGTGTTGAAGGATAATCTTTCCAAGTATATGGAAGCTAGTATTAAACTTATTCATATAATATTATCAACAGATGTTACTTCCTGGAAGTTTTAAGTGGTCACATGGCTGTCCGTTGGAGATAGATAGATAGAAGCTCTCTGAATATCTGTCTAAAAATAATTGCACAGGCACTTAGATCTGTTTTAATGGCATTCATATTTTATGAACAGGTCATCTGTGTTCATGATGTCTCTTCTATCTACCGGGTCCCTCTGTTGTTAGAGGAGCAGGGAGTTGTTGACTACTTCAGGCACAGGCTTGACCTCCCCATTGAGCGGCAGCCCCGGAGGATGCTCATGAAGTGGAAGGAGATGGCAGATAGGTGAGCTGTACCGCCAGGCCTTGCTCGAGCTGGCACTCCAGATCAGTTGCTCTTCTTGGTCAGTGGTTCTTAGGTGAAAAGTGTTATTTCACATTCCTCAGGTGTTCTTATGTGCTCAAATTTTTTTTCTTATGTTTCTTTTTTATGTTTCTTTTTTAACTACAAAAACATACTTCCTTTGTAGATGTTTAACAATTGTTTGGAAAAAAAAATATCTTCTTCAACGTGAGAATGCTGTAAGATAATGTTACCAAGTTCCTTATCTTGGGTTGGTAATGTACTGTCTATGTCAAAACAAGTTTGAGGTAATTAAAAGGTTCTGCCCTCCCATTTTATACAAAAAGACTCAGTGATATTACAAAGTGTTGAAATCCTTTTGTAGGCGTATGTGTAGGAGTGATCAGGAATGTCAATAAAAATCTGTCTTTGGAGTGTGCTTTCAAGCAAGTGAAACAACTATTTCGTAACTGTTCTGTCTGAGACTCCGAGGACATGGTGGTGTTTTTTTTTTTTTTTCTCGTGGGGAATAGACTCCATGTTCATGGGGAAATTATGAATTGAGTCTTTTCAGTTGGCATTCAGGCCCTTTCTGAAGCCTTAAATATGTTTGTTCTTATAACAAATCAATTTTCTAGATGTCCCCCCCAACACAGGCCACCACCGCCAGTAATATTTCCTTTTGATGGGGAAAGCCCTCAGTAACCAGCTCGGTTGAAGGTACTTAAAAGTTATGAAATAGACTTTAAACAGTCTCTTAACTGTAGCCAAGAGTGCTGTCAGGTGCTGGGGGTAGAGAGTGCAGGCAGTGGCAGCCGCAGGACTCTGGAAGTCCTCTCTGTGTTTCTGGCTGCTGAAGTGAGCTCAGTCAGAAGCAGCGTGGGAAGATGCTGTACAGTATAAACATATGCAGAGTTGTGCTTTGATCCTGGCTCCTAATAGTTTACTGCAGCCTTTGAGTCTCATACAGCTTCCTGAAAATACAGTTTGGATCTCCTCAAAATGGCTTTTCTGCATAAGGACAGATGAGTTAATTTATATGTGGTTTCTGCAACTCTTCTTCTCTGTAACATTCTTTTTTTCTTTCTTCTAATTATTATGAAAGGTTATTGCCTCCAAAGTCATCATCTTTCTAGTTGGACAGACTTTCAAGAGGCCAACTGTTTATGTTAATTGAAAAACAGAATAGAATGCGATTCTTGCCCCCATTTCCTGTTAATGATGAAATAACCCTTGTGTTTTGTTTTTGTTTAGGTATGACCGTCTCCTTGAAACATGTTCTATTGCGCTTGTTGGCAAATACACCAAGTTTTCAGATTCCTATGCATCTGTCATTAAAGCACTGGAGCATTCTGCACTGGCCATCAACCACAAACTTGACATTAAGGTAGGGGAGTGGGTGTGGGTGTGTAGAAATTTCCCCCTATACTCCTTCCACTTACCATGCTACTCGTCTTAATTAAGTTTTTCACAAACCTGTAGACAGTAAGGGAGAGTTGATTCAGCCAGTGAACTTTAGAACAGTTCTTGGATTACAGCCTCAAAACATCTGTTGTCAGGCACAAAACAGCTTCAAAGCAAACCAGCCTTCCATCCTGTCAGAGATACAAGGTGTCTGTGTAACTGATGGGAACTCTTCAGTGCTCAGTGTTGTGTGCTGAATTGTGGGAGAGTGGTAGATACATTTGAAGAAGGCACTGTTTGCTTTAATTTCGCTGAGAGCTCTTAGAAGTGATCTTTTTTTAGGGTTGTTGCTGTTATCCTTGTACTCACAGGTTTTATGGTGCTTCTGCCTCAGGCTTTATTAAGGTTTTAGTGCTGGTTTGGCTGCAAAGGTGCTGTTAAGTGTCCTGGCTGTAGCAAGGTTGCTCTGAACAGGTGAGATATCTATCACTTGTCAGAAATTTTACTTTCTCTTAAATATGCTTTTAAAAAGTCCAGTGGTTTCACAATGCCAGTGAGTCATGGCATTAGGTGCTTGGTTTATAACAGCACTGCTCTATGTTTGGGTTACCTTTCAACTTACAAAATCAGTGGAGGAGAAAAGAAGAAAAACAAGTAAGACTGGCGAAGGGTAAACCCTGCACATGCATCTCTGGGTAGTTCCTGATGCAGCTACATTTGTATGGTGCAGAAGGGGAACACATTCTGTGAGCCCTGTGCATGGAGATCGTACCTTGGGTTAAAGAACTGCTTAGCAGTAGTCCAAGTCTGTGGGGGGAGGGGGAAGAGAGAGACAAAAATGGTTGTTCCAAAGGGTTAGCAGGCTGCCAGAACATTCGCAAGTTGGGACATACTGCAATACTGGAGATGAGAAACTGGAAAATTTGCAGGTTTTTCCCATACGTAGCATTGGTCATAACATCCTTTGATTACAACAGCCTGTGTTTCACCAGATCCTATTTGTTCTGCAGTCCCTCTTGAAGATTAGGTGATGTATATTTGATAAGATAGTGATTTAATTTTTTTCTTGCTGTGTGGTTGTTTCTTTCTGCATAGCCCTGTGTTCCTACCTCGCTGTGCTGCAGTAAAACTTCACATTTAATGAGTTTGGGTTTCATGGACTTCATGTACATCACAGCAAAGCTGCAGAGAGGGAAAGAGAAAAAGCATGGCTTCTGTTTGTGCAGAAGTGTGTCTGTTTGTGTCTAAGATTAGGTGATGTATATTTGATAAGATAGTGATTTAATTTTTTTCTTGCTGTGTGGTTGTTTCTTTCTGCATAGCCCTGTGTTCCTACCTCGCTGTGCTGCAGTAAAACTTCACATTTAATGAGTTTGGGTTTCATGGACTTCATGTACATCACAGCAAAGCTGCAGAGAGGGAAAGAGAAAAAGCATGGCTTCTGTTTGTGCATCTGTAGTATGATGGTGGGGGAAAGCAGTTTTGCTGACTAGCAGACAGGAAATCAGCCCAGATGGGTGACTATTTTTGTCAGTTAGGTTGACGGTTGGACAAGATGATCTTTAAGGTCCCTTCCAACCTAGAAGATTCTGTGATTCTGTGATTCTGTAGTATGATGGTGGGGGAAAGCAATTTTGTTGACTAGCACACAGGAAATCAGCCCAGAAAAAAATATAAGCAAGTATCCAGTAGGAAACAAATCCAGAGCTATCCAGGAGGAATGATGATACTCTCATTTCATGAGAATTAAGGAGACCCTGCGCATTCTTGTAGCAGTGTCTCATCATCCTTTTGTGGATTTCTTTCCAGTATATTGACTCTGCTGACTTGGAGCCAGATACTCTGCGGGAAGAACCTGTCCGATACCATGAAGCATGGCAGAAGCTGTGTGGTGCTGAGTAAGACTCTTGTACTCTGGCCATTTCTTTGGAGTATGTGTAATAAATTTGCTGCTACTGACAGTTGTGGAATTAAGAGCCTCGCTGGAGACTGTTCTCTTAGAGTGTGCCAAAACAGTGCCTGACGTTGTCTCAAATACCCCTCAATGGAACTTAGGATAAGATGTAAAATGGAGAGTTGTTAAATAAGTGAGAGAGTTTGTGATAGGCAGCAGTAAGGGAGATGATGGTGCAGATGAAGATGTGCACAGGCTTAGTGGGGAAACAGGGTGAGAGGAAATAAGGGGAAAGGATAGGTACTGGCAAAGGCTATTTAAAACCAAAGAGAGAGGATGGAAGGTGTAAATATGGTATAAAGTTCTTTAGGCAGAAAGTGTGAGAAGGGAAAAAGTGTAAGGATGCAGAGGAGTGCCAAGAGTTAGCCCAGGAAACAAGAACAAGTGGGTGTGTTAGCCCTCAGGGAAGCAGGCTTTGGGTGGTACCAGGAGAATAAAGAACTTCCTGCAGAATTTGGTGTCCTTGTGCCTGCGTCAGGAGAACCTGAGGCTGCAGCCAGGGGCTTCCTCAGCACTTGGCTAGGTGACATGTTTGCAAACATGTTTGGTGCAGAGCGTGAGGGTCATGCACTGTGAACCATTCTAGTACTGTGACCTGCACTGCATTTGGGATTTCTTGGGAAGGTAAAATGTGCTTTTTATAAAATGTTTCCCTGAAAACTTTGTGACATTTTATGTGGTGGCTCATGTGAAGTTACATGGAAACTGTGCTGCAGACAGGCCTTGCCATGTAGGGCACTTTAAAGCCCTTTTCAGGAGTGAGGTCTTGCAAGTCCAAGATCTTGTGGAAGAGAGGTGGTACGTGGTTGTGGGGAACCGTGCTGGTGAGCCCTCTGTGAATGGAGTCTTTTCATCTTCATGCAGTGGAGTTCTGGTTCCTGGTGGATTTGGTGTTCGAGGGACAGAAGGCAAAATTCAAGCTATTTCCTGGGCAAGAAAACAGAAAAAACCGTTCTTAGGTGAGAAGCATGTTTCTAACTGGTCTGCAGAAAGAGCTTTTCTGATTTTCATTAGTATCTGGAATGTATGATTTTGAAGAGAATTGGCTGAGGAAGACAATGATCTACACTCATCTTAACTGGGTAACACAGCTGTCATCTGTAAGTTAGTGCTGAAGGGGTCGGAGTTGGCTGGGACGTGATGACATCTCCATAATGAGGGGATCACAGTCTCAGAGGAAGCTTCAGAGGAGAATGTGGTGATCTTGGTATGAAGAAATATGTGACTGCATTTAACTGAAATGGAGACGGTGAGAGAGTGGAAATGCGTGAGCAGAGTGGGTGGAGAAGCGTGGGGTAGAACTTCTCACAACTACTTAGTGCAGAGTGAAGAGGCCCCTAAATCCAAGTCGAAGGTCTGTCTCATCCAGGTTTTGCTCTGGCTCAGGGCTGCTCTCTGAAGGTGTATTGCTTTGTGATACGGGCTCAGTGGCCCCTTGCCCTGATGTGGTCTGTGTCCTGCCTTGCCTCCTGCAGGAGTTTGTTTGGGAATGCAGTTAGCGGTTGTGGAGTTTGCACGCAGTGTTCTTGGTTGGCAAGGTAAGTGCACAAGCCCCTTCCTGGGTTTTGGTCATTTCTTTGATTGCATGAGTAATGCCTTTAATTTTTTTAATACCTGTAATTTTGGATTATCATTGATAGGTAGATTATTTTTTTTTTTTTCCTAGGCCTGTGAAATTCCCCATCTCCTTTGCTAATTCAAAAGAAAAAGAACGATTTCCTTATTCTATTCAAATAAAAATCAATGGACTAAGACATAATGACAGAAAACATTCTGTTGCTTAGAGTGAGGTTCAGGTCCTGAAGAAATACTTAAGTGGAGTTGTGCCTATGTGTGCTGGACATCCTAAATTCCCATTATAGCCAGTAGGAATGAAGACCAAAAGGCAATTCAGCCGCCCAGGCAGTTGCACCTACTTCAGTGAGTTGAATTGCTTTCTGGGCTCCACTGCTTGAGTTGACTCAGTCCCTGTTGTCAAAACTGCTTTTACAGAGTGCTAAATTTAATTTCTCAGCCTGGTTCCATATCTCACTAGTAGTGAAGGTAGCACAAAATGTGTTTCTCAGAGTACTTCTGCTCCCTTCCTGCTCTCTGGCTTTATTTAAAATACTCGAAGCGGTTGAATGTGTGCTTTTCCTGAGTGTCCCTCCCTTTCCTCACTGGTTGCCCGAAGGCTGCAGCTCCCAGGCAGCTTCAGAAACTGGAATCAAGCGAAGCTGGCAGGGCCCTGTTGGTGCTGCTGGGGCTGGGCTGGCAGCTCCCTGCGGGCAACAGCTCCACACAGGTCAGGGATGTGCCTGGGGGGAGATCCTGTAAATGCTAGTGATGGGGTAGTGTTTCTAACGGATGAACCTCACATTGCAGATGCGAACTCGACAGAATTTGACCCCAAAACTGCTCATCCAGTGGTGAGTTTATGGCGACTTGCTTGTAATATCCTTGCTGTGCTAGACTTCTCTGTGCATACCTGGTGGTACAGTTAAGAGCTTGGATTATTATGTCTTGTGGCTTTCAAGTCTATCTTCCATCATTTACTAATCTGAAAAAGAAAATTTCTTTGCCTAGTTAATGTATGGCAGTTGCTGCTTCCTTGAAGATTGCAGTGCTTACTACAGGTGGAACACTAATATTTTTATATTTTCATTTTTAGTCACTCTTTTTCATGAAGCAAGGTGTTTTCTAATAGGTAAAAGGTTCTTAAAGGGCAGTTTGAAAGCTAACAGATTTCACAGAGGAAATGTTGAAGATTTGGTGATATCCACGTTCCACTGCATAACTGTTTAATTATAATCTCAGAAATTAACATAGACAGACTTGAATTCCTTGGAACATTTGTGGACAGACACAGCTCCATGTGCCTTGTTGAGGGTCCACTGTAATGATTGGCTTCTGCTATAATTTGAAGGGCTGCTCAAAAGGGTAAAAGTTTTCAAAAAAACAGCTTATGAAGTTATTTATCAAAGTATAAGTGATTCTCATTTGCGGATTTTGTTTCTGTAAATTTGATTGTTTGTTTAACATTTAGTTCAGTAAATAGCACATTATTAATGCTTGGTTTGAATGAGACCATTCCCTATGCAAAAGCTTCCCAAATACCTCTGAACCTTCCATGTGTTCTGTACAGCCTTTCCTAGAATAACTCTGCTAACTAACCTAGTTTTTTGGGGGTCTGCCTTGTCAAGCCAATGTTCCTTGGGGTGATTTGCTTGTTTTCTGTAAGGATGTTGTTTTTTCTCCCCCTTTTAACATTTCAGAGTCTGCCCAGGGCTGTTATTCCTCCCTCATTCTCACCTCCCTGTCTGAATGCATTCTGCAGGTCATAGACATGCCAGAACATAATCCTGGGCAAATGGGCGGGACCATGAGGCTTGGCAAGAGAAGAACACTCTTCCAAACGAAGAATTCAATCATGAGTAAGGCATTTCTTACCTCTTTTGGAAGTGTTTCCTGGGAATGCCATACATTTATGGTGGGTATGGGGAAGGGAGACCTGGGAATGTTAAAGCATCCTTGAATGGTCGATTTTTGCAGACTTTGTTCTCATAGTGAAATGGAGATCAATTAATTTGGTCCCCTCAAGAAGTGGCACATTCTGATGGATGCTCTTCATATGAACTTGTTAAAACTTGCCAAACATCACGTGAACTGTTTGGTGTTTGCTCTAAGAAGTGTCTTTCTTTTGGTGCAGGGAAGCTGTACGGAGATCATGATTTCTTGGAGGAGAGACATAGACACAGATTTGAGGTAAAAATGCTATTGTAGGTGTTGAGCTTTTCTGTGCAACCCAAACACAAGAGATCATGGTTTTTCTTGCTTCTGGTCTTCTAGGTCAATCCAGAATTGAAAAAGTGTTTTGAAGAGCAAGGTTTGAAGTTCGTAGGCCAGGATGAGGAGGGAGAGCGAATGGAAGTGGTTGAGTTGGAAGGTGAGTAATTAAGCAATTAGTTTATGGGTGTAGGTATTTACAAAGGAAAGTGTTCAGAGGGTAAATGAGGAGGTTTTTGTGTGACCCGTCCAGGCTCTCTCGGAATTACACTAAAGGATCCCATGTGGCTGTCCATGTAGGGCTGGGTAGAAACAACACTTATTCCCCATCATCAGACTTCAGTGCAGTCAGTGCTTTCAGATGCAGTTGAGCTGCAAGCTTCAGAGAGTTGACACGAGTATTTTCTATTTCTTTCTCTTAGAGCATCCTTTCTTTGTTGGTGTTCAGTATCACCCGGAGTTCCTCTCAAGACCAATTAAGCCATCCCCCCCGTACTTTGGCCTCCTCTTGGCGTCTGCAGGAAGACTCACACATTATCTACAAAAGGGCTGCAGGCTCTCGCCCAGGTAGGTTGAAGGAAAACACCAGTCAGACCTTTCACAGGGCAGTGCTTCTTCCTACAGGATAAACTAGAGAATCCTCTTGGCACAGAGTTACTGTGAGGTAACTAAGGGGTATTTGCAGCACCTCTTCTTTCCACTCTTTCTTTGAAACCTCTTGTCTTGCATTTTAAGATTGATTGTGGTGATAGAACTGTCCTGCCGGGAGGTCCCAGCATCGGGGAGCGTAACTGCAGGTTTGTGCTGACACTCAGAGGTGTTGGGGGAGCTGCAGCCGGGCCTGCTCTTCTGGGTGATTGGAGACCTCCTGGGGTTTTCCCCAAGATCCTTGTACAAGTCCTAGGTACAGGCTGGTCCTCAAGAAACTTGTTCCTGTTGCTAGTTTAAAGGATGGGCCCTGGTGGTTGCAGCTTCTTTTTTTTCTGCTGACTTAAACTTTCTTTTGTCTCAGTTTGCAAAGAAACTTACATTTTTGGGTAGACTTAATGGCACATTTACTTCCTTCTGGTGCTCCCGAGTGCCCTGCAGTTCTGCTCAGCAGATGTGGCAGTATGCAACAAATAAACATCACTTTGGTGGTGACCCATTTTCCTTCTTACAAAAGAGAATACAGAGGATTTGCTTGTGTAGCTGGAGTGTTAACATGAACTAAACAAAAAACCCCAAACTAAATGCAGAACAGAAATAGCACTAAATGTATTAAACTAAATCAATGCAAAAAGGAAAGTATTGGCTTTTCTGGGTCGAGCTGCCATGCAGCTGCACCACAGGAATTCCTGTGTTGCTGTCTGGACAGTGGCTGTCAGTTGTGCTCTGACTGATCTGCTCTGAGGGGAGTTTCTGTGTGAAGATCCCTCCTGTCAATGCTTCCAAGGGCTGAGGGATGTTTTAATTTCCTGCTTTTGTACATTTGAGTTTGAAATGGCTTTTCATGGCAGAGGAGCTGAAGTTTCCTCTGTACTGCAGCATCCTAAGTTAGTATTATCTGCTGTTGGAGTCTTTTGTGATTGTGGTTATGAATTGTCTCATGGTTTAGCATATAATCTAAAAATACTGGTGGCAGTTATAGGCCAGCCTGTACTCCCAGTTACTCCTGTGCCCTTGTAATTCTCATCACCTTTTCAGACAGTTCTCATCGTTGCACCCCCATGGGGTTTGCAGGTAACACCAAACTGAGGGGAACAGATGACATGCTTGGGGATAGGATGGCTGTTTGGGGGGACCTGGGCTGGAGGAGTGGGCCCACAGGAGCCTGATGAGGTTTAGCACCGTCTGGGGGCTGTAGCTGGGGAGCAGCTCCGCTGGCGGGGTCTCGGGGAACAGCAAACTGAGCACCAGCAGCGTGTGCTGGCAGCGAAGGAGGGATGAGCAGTGTCCTGGGCTGTTAGCACAGACAGCAGATGGAGAGAAGTGACTGTGTCTCTTTACTTGGTGTTTGTTAGACTACATCTACAATATTCTGTGTGGTTTAGGGTCGCCCAGTACAAGTAAAAAAATGAATAAATTGGCGAGAGTTCAGTGAAGGGCTACTAGACTGCCAGGAGACTGGAATAATTGCCCAGTGAGGAAAGGCCAAAGGAGCTGGGCTTGTTGAGCCTGGAGAAGGGAAGGCTTTATGGGGCACCTAAGAGCAGCCTGTCAGCACCTACAGAAAGGTCAGCAAGAACATGAAAACAGAAGTGCGTGGTGGGAGGAGGAAACACAATGGATATAAATTGAAATAAGGGAGGTTCTGATGGGATATAAAGAAAGTCTTTTTCCTTATTGGATCAGTTATGCACTGGGGCAAGTTACCCAGAAGAGCTGCACAGTCTCTGTCCCTGGAGGATTTCAGAGTGTGACTGGATAAAGCTCTGGGCAGCCATGTCTGGTCTGATGGCTGTCCCTGCAGTGGGGCTGTCCTGGGCTCCCTTCCCATTGGAATTATTCTGTGAATCTGAAAAAAGCTGTTTAATGGGTTAAAGGCAACCAGCTGTTACTGGGAAGCTGAAACAGAGTGGGTTATGGGTGGCTAACAAGTCTATTTCCTGGTTAATGAATTTCATTTAGAATAACTTTGCCTTATAAAACGCCTATTATATCTATAATCACTTTCATTCACAAACCTTAAAATTGATGATGACTCAGCCCTATTTCCAAAGGGACAGCTATTCTAGGAATTCTGTGTGCTCTGCTTTTTAGCCCCAGTTGGCAGTGCTTACTACCAAACCCCGCTAATTCCTCATGCAAATCTAGGTCTGTAAAGCTCAGTAAAACAAAATCTTTCTGAATTCTGCAGGGACACGTACAGCGACAGAAGCGGCAGCAGCTCGCCTGACTTGGAGATAACAGAGCTGAAGTTTCCATCAGTAAATCATGACTGATTCCTGGTAACTCCTAATAACCTCAACCTCTTTCCTTATGGAAAAAATTCCTTGCCTGGTCTTCTCTCCTGGCATCTGATTGTTTCACATCAGTTGGTAGAAAACTGGCACCTCGTGAAAAGTGCTGGTGCTCACACACGTGTTCCAGCTCTGCTGAGGGATGTGTAACGTGTCGGGTCTGTGTAACAGATGTGGATGGGCATTTCCTTAGCAAATGGACACATAATAAAGTATAAAAATACACGTGGGAGTGTGAGATGAAATTCAGCTGAAGAAACAGCACAAATATAGCACATATTCCTGAAAATGGAGGCAAAGCTGAGCAAGGGGGTACTGGATTTATAAAGTTTAGTGTTTTGGGAGCGTTCTCTCACCTTTGCCAAAGAAGGTTTTTGAAATAGCTATTCTCCCCATCCCTTGAAACAGCAGGTTTCTTTGCCAAACCAGTGGGCTTGAGCTCTGAGTGGCAGCAGCGACTGTGCAGGTGGTGTGTGGATGTCAGAACTGGATGTGTATGATCCGCTCTTGGAGGGGGGGCACTAAGCCCTGCTGTTCAAACTCCACCAGCAAAAATTGTCAACTTAATTTTTAAATGAGTTCTGTCTTTGTGCAGTGATTGTGGCCGTAGCATGCTCTGGCTGGTTTTGTGCAGTGCTTTTGGAGAAGCTGAGCAGCATTTGAGTACACGTGTGTCAAGTGAGAGTGGGGATTTATTGCTGGGTGCCAGGGGACCAGGGATATCCAACTCTTCCTTCCTCCCCCTTTCGTTCATGTCACAGACGCTTCCAAAATTAACTGCAGGTTGAAAATGAGGGTTAGCCCCAGTCTGGCACAGGAGTATTTGCCCATCCCTGGCCGCGGGACTCAGTCTCTGGGTTGCTGAAGGCAGCTGGGATCGGTGGCTGTTGGGTTGTTCCAGAGCTGGTACAGGAGCAAACTAAAAGCTGAAAAACCTTCTCTGTAAATTTTTATCCTCCTGAAGATACCCTGAAACTTTGGCTCGCTGACAGTATCCAGTGTGCTCCCTGATGTGGCTGGTGTGGGTGCTGCATTGATACCTGAGGGCTTGGAGGCTGTCCCCAAAGGAAATTGTAGGGAAAGTGACACTGACGCGTGAGGTGTGTCCCCTGTCCAGCCCACCTGCCCTGGTGTCCCCTGTCCAGCCCACCTGGCCTGGTGCCTGTCTCGGCCCAGCTCTCTCTTAATAGCTGCAGTGTAACGAAGATTTTCCTTCAGTCCCAGCCACAGGCAGGGCTGGGAAGGGCATGAAGTTAATTCTCAGCTTAACAGCGCCTGTTCCCTGGCATTTACTTAATTATCCACATCTAGGATGAGCTTGCTCTCTCAGGGGTCATCTTAATCTTGCCATAGCTCCCCTATAAAACTAATCGATGTCTTTTACCCCAGTGGAGGAGTGCTGGCAGGTCCCCTGTGTGGTGGTGACGTATGTAAGAGTCACACGTCACTGTGCTGGTCCTGTTGCTCTTCACTGTCAGTAATTCCTGCTCCTTTTCTTTCTCTCTTTCTCCAGATGTGTCTTCGCTGAAGAGAAGAATCTTCATTAGATTTTTCCAGGCGCTCTTATGGCAATAGCTTGAACACTGTCAGCTATGGGCTTTCTTAAGTTATGGTTTTATAATTTTTGTTATGAAATTATGTCCCTTTATTTTCTCAGCTCTTCTGTCCTTCGTTTATTTTCTGTGTAGTTTCTGTTTATTTCCAAAGGAGAGCTCATCACAGCACACATACCTCTAGACTTTTTTCAGTTTATCACCATCTTGGAGATAAAAAGCAAATGAGGGGCTGGGGGTTTGATGTGCTGGGGAGAATCCAGTTGCACGTTTCCTTCCTATGGCTCAGGAACGCTGCCTTGAGTTTGGATCTGGGGCACTGGCAGTTGAGTTGATTTCTCCTCCTGTTCCGCTCCCTCAGCAGCTTTTATTCCTCACTGGTGAAACAGGGTGGATGGCAACTAGATTTTGGGGGCTCGCTCGGTTGTTGAGCGGTGCTGTGCTGCAGAGGAGGGGGGGAATAATGTTTTGTATGGGGTTTTTTTAGTAGTAGTTTAAAATGTTTGGCACTGGGGTTCTTGGTGCCTTCATCGCCAGCAATGAACTTTGAACCAGGGAAATCTTCCTGGAACAGAGTTAATTTGGAACAGGATCAGCTCTGAGGGCGATAACGTCACCGCAGGGATGTGATGAGCTGGGATCACGTGGGGAAAAAACCTGAACAAAACCAAAGCAGAACTGTCAGGAGTGGCCTGACCCGAGGTGTGAGTGGAGCTGCCAGCCCTTCCCTGCCAGTGTTCCTGGGGCTGGGAAACCTCAGTTCCTTGTGCTGGGGGGAGGGACAGGGCCGGGGTGACCCGCTCTGGGTGCTGCCTCCAACTGCTCCGGTGGGGTTTGCCTTGGGCTGAGCAGTTGGTGGTGCTTTGTTCTGTTGGTTGGAAGCGGAGCCTCCCCTGTCCTTTGTCTGTGTGTCCTACTCCCCGTGCGGGGAGGGGTGTCCTGCTTCCCCTGGTGTTCCCTGTCCCTGGGTGGGTGTGGGTCTGTGCTGTCCTGCCGTGGGGCGCTCAGCTCTCCAGTCCTGCCCTGGGAAATACATCACCTTTTTTTTTTTTTTTTTTTTTTTCCTTTATCCCCCTTTCTCCTGCCTCTTCCTGCAGGGTAAGCGGGACAGTTTTTGGTCTGTGGTACATTAGAAGAAAGGAGGGAAGTGTCCCGGTGTCTGGAGCAGGGGGTGTTGGGAGCCCTGCAGTTGGCTGCAGTCTGGGGAGAGCTGTGGGGCTGCAGCCGGGCTGAGCACCCACCCCCAGCGTGTCTGATGCCAAACTCCATGAAGCCCTGTCCTGTCTCATCCCAAGTGATCTTTTTCCACAGCCCCTCTTGCTTTATTCCTCAATTACTTTAACTATACCGTGTAAAGCTGCTTTTAGCCTGGAAAGCTTTAAGCATCTTCCCGTGTGCCGGTGCTGGAGGAGCGATGGGCCGTGGGGAGAGGGGCTCGGTGCTGACCCCACGCAGGGGGGGGTCCCCTGGGCAGTGGGACCACCCTTGTCTCTAGCACAGCTTTGTTTTCCTCTTAAATGGTTTTCTTTTGGCCAAAACTGCAACTGACTTGGTCATTAAATGCTTATTTGTAATAAAATTAATAACTAGCCAAGGGCTTGCTATGTTACTTCCACAGCTCAAAGGGAGAAAGAAGGGACTTTAATTTAAAACTAGACAATCAGTTAATCCAGTGTAAGTGAGAAGAAGTTCGTTACCCATAATTGTGGTTGTTTTCAGACATGTATCGCCAGATTACGGGTGGAAGAGCCTGGGGAAGCTGGGCTGTGCCTATGGCCTGTGCAGGGCAGGAAAAATGAGGATTTTTAACCAAATTGTGTCAGAAGGTGCCTCTTAGGGCGTTGCTCCCTCTCTCTTCTGCAGGGGGGGGAGCCCGTGCCTGGTGGTGGCCCCAGGCCGTGTCTCTGGGCTGTGGCAGCGTGGGGCTGGCACTGCTGCTGCCCTGGGGACAAAGCCCGGGGCCACCCTCCCCTCAGCGTGGGGCCCGGGGCGAGAAGCACCTTCTCCCCTCGCTCCTCACAGGGTGTTGCTCTGGAGCGTGGGGCGAGGCTGGGTCCTGGTCCTGGGTGCTCCACTCCCCCAGGGCGGGGCATGTTAATTAACACCCAGTAGTGCTAATTACAGGCTCATGGAGGGGGGTCTGAGTGCCCTGCGTGGGGCTGCTGGAGGGGGCGAGGTGGCACCAGGTACCAGCTCTGCACCCCCTCGCCCCGAGGGAGGCCAGGGCTGTCCACAGCCCCACAGGGGAGTCATTGGGGGGGCTGGTACCACCATCGCCCCCCCAGCTGGGCTCCGGGGTGGGGGGTGGGAAGGGCACAGCCCCAGTGTGGCCTGTGGTGGTGTCTGCTTTTATGGCCACCCTTAGCAGAGGTCTGGAGCACAAGTCTTGTGAGGAGAGGCTGAGGGAGCTGGGGGTGTTCAGCCTGGAGAAAAGGAGGCTGAGGGGAGACCTTCTGGCTCTCTCCAACTCCCTGAAAGGAGGGTGTAGCCAGGGGGGGGTCGGTCTCTGCTCCCAAGGAACAGGCCATGGGACAAGAGGAAATGGCCTCAAGTTGCTCCAGGGGAGGTTTAGGATGGATATTGGAGAAAATTTCTTCCCCAAAAGGGCTGTTGAACACTGGAAGAGGCTGCCCAGGACGGTGGTGGCGTCACCATCCCTGGAGGGGTTTAAGAGCCGGGCAGACGTGGTGTTGAGGGACATGGGTGAGTGGTGGAGCTGGCAATGCTGGGTTCATGGTTGGACTTCATGATCTTAAGGGCCTTTTCCAACCAAAATGATTCTATGATTTTAGCTCCTTCTCTGGGACTGCAACAGAAACGAGCATTTAAAGTTCAAGAAAGGAAGATGTGAAATTTTACAAACAAAATGCCCCTCCCCCCATGGGCCCTTCTCTGGGGTTTGGGATTATGGTCACCGTGGGACCCCGACAAAGGACCCACCGTGTCCCTCCCAGCCCACACCCAGGCTCTGCTGCTGTGGGGTGTGACAGGGACAGGCTGGCTGCCGGGGCTGTCCCCAGGGGAGATGGTGGCCGGGGGGCACAGGGCTGGGCACTGGCACAGGGGAGCCCCATGAACCCCGGGCTGGGAGCACCACGCTCCCCACAGCCAGTCCAATGGGACAAGTGTGGGCCAGAGACACCTGAGCTGAGATCCTGGGGTGCCCAGGAGCCCCAAGGCTGCAGGAGAGACCTGGGGTGCTCCTCCCACCTCACCCCACCCACTGCCAAACCTCCAGGAGCAGCCAAGACCCCTTCTCCCCAGCACCACCCCCCTCCCAGGGCTGGGTGCCTCTTTCCTGCCTTCTCCAGGTGCCAGCTCCCTCCCCTTGCCCGGGTGTCACACGCTGCTCCAGGTGTCCGGGACACAGGCCCTGGGCAAGTCCCACCTTGTGTTCACCCCCTCCTCACGGTGCCTCTGCAGGACCACCCCCCGCCGAGCCCAGAGAAGCGCGTGGAGCGGCCCCCTCCCCTCAGGGGATGGAGAAGCCCCCGACAGCTCCCGGGGGCTCCCGGCCAACCTGCAGCTGCCCAGATGTGGGGCCTGCGGTCGTGGCAATGGTCTGTGCTGCCCAGCAGTGGTCCCGTCTCCCCGGGCTGGTGCCCACCCCCTGCTCCTGCCTCATGGCGCGGTGGGGGGGCAGCTCTGGGGGTGTCTGGGCAGCGGTGGGTCGGGGGCTGCTCCTGCCCCAGCCCCTCCGAGTCCCCCGGCAGGAGCCTCCGGCAGCGCGGCCCCGCGGCTGGGGGATGCTCTCCATAGAACCATAGAGTTGTCCAGGCTGGAAGGGACCTCCAAAGGCCATCTAGTCCGACCCCCCCGCAGTCAGCAGGGACACCCCCAACTAGACCAGGTTGCCCAGGGCCTCGTCGAGCCTCTCCTTGAATATCTCCAGGGAAGGGGCCTCAACCACCTCCCTGGGCAACCTGTTCCAGTGCTCCACCACCCTCACAGTGAAGAACCCTCTCCTCATCTCCAATCTAAATCTGCTCCCCTCCAGCTTAAAGCCATTGCCCCTAAAAAAAAATATGGAACGCTTCACGAATTTGCGTGTCATCCTTGCGCAGGGGCCATGCTAATCTTCTCTGTATCGTTCCAATTTTAGTATCTGTGCTGCCGAAGCGAGCACAAAGGGCTGAAGGGCTCCAGGCGGGCACTGGGACGGGGGTGGTCGTGGGCCCCCTCCCGCCGCCGATGGGGCCGGTGTGAGGACGAACCCTCCCGCCGAGCGGTGACCGGTGGCGCCGGGCGGGACCCAGAGACGCTGGAGGCGCCTGGAGCCGCGCGGCGAAGGGCAGGAGCGCGGGGGCCGGCGGAGGGGCCGGTGCCACCGTCACTAACGAGCCCCCTCCTTCATCGCGTCAC